ACTTTAATACACTATTAAAGCGTTGCATGGATTTGGATCATGTAATGTTATGACAGTATGCTGTTATAATGACTTACATAAAGTTTTATAGAACCAGAGACATGTTTACATAATGTCCCTGATTGAATGGCATCCAAACTTCGTACACTTTATAGGACCTGACCTTGTTATTGAAGCATTTAGTCAATTGCTTACATAACACAATGAAGCATGTTAATAAAAAGTGTTTTGGCAATATTTATAATGACTGTGTAATGATTGATTGATTGATTAATGTTTTACTCCGAATCGGCAATATTTCAGCCATATATCGGCGAGACTGTGTAATGGTTTAGGTACGTACTACGTAGTAGTGGTAAGTAGATATGACAAACAGCTGGTAAAGTACTGTCTCAAAAACTGTCAAATTTGTCATGTTTCTATTTTCATTTGATAAAATTTTATTTATATAAATGATCAAACTACTTGTGTTCTTCTATGTACTGTACAACTGTATTTATTAAAAATATTTCTTTCAACCTAGCAAATTGTATCTTAAGTCACAGTAATATGATTGATTGATTGATTGTACACTGTTTAACGTCCCTCACCAGAATATTTCACTGATATGGAGACGTAAGTCACAGTAATAAGTAATATCTTTGATTTAAAAAAGACATAATACATACCCTTGTGTAAATTTACTAGTTTTATTCACAAAATTTACTTTTTTATTGCAATTGAAATATTTGATAATGGCGACAAGAAATTCTGAAATCGCAACCAAAAAATTTTTTAGGTCACCATTTAGCAACTTAAAAGCAAGTGTGACTTGGAGCACTGCACATATGGTTTTTAGATATTTTGAAAGATGCAAATAATTTTCCATAAAATTTTTAAATTTTTTCCCTTGGAAAAAGGTTTGACCCTTCATCCTTGTTCATATAGACAAAGTTGAATAACAATGGATACTTAATTGTTCCAAATTTGGTTGAAAATGGCCAAGTCTCACTTTGTGGATCTTGAGTTTCAGTTTAAAATGTAAATTAAAAGTTTACAGACAGACGGACAACTAGAAAGATGTCGGAAAAAATGTGAACAGAAAAGCTCTCTTGAGCCTTTGGCTAAAGTAAGCTAATAAATAAAGTAAACTCCTTTTCAGACTTGTTCGTTTTTTTTTGGGGGGGGGGGTGTCTGCCACCAATCTCCCAACTCGACACCCCACCCCCGCCCAGATACCCGCAAGAATCTTAAGGATGATGTATTATATATATCAGTTTATTGTGCTACCTACATTGAAATTTGATAAATGTTTACAAGGCATGCATTGCTTCTGTGACTTGGCCATTTTAAAAATGGAGATATTCCAGCATTTCTGTTTGTTTTTTTTTACCTCAATCCTCTCGTCGGCTGCTGTACAAAACTGTCCTCCGTGCAATCCATCCTCGTAGATCATAAAGATAACACGAAAAATGCAGGAAATAATCTGTGTGTATAAACTCTCAGAAATATCGCAGTGTTATCTTGCCAAATCAAATATCAAGTGAATGAGTACCAGTTCACGTGCACAAAACCCCGCGTAAAAGCCTGCTGTGGTCACTGTGCGTGAAAATAGTAGGGAAGACTGCAAAAATAAATAAGAATAGATATGGGTTATCCCATATCCAAAGATATTCTACTTTTAGATTTAATATGTTTAATAGTGTTTATAATGACTTTCATGAAAAAAAATTGCACTGTCTAATTGTGGAACGGATGTTTTGTGAGTCCGTAGCATTAAGGTCACCCAGTCTCCTAACAAACAGTACACATACCTATGTCCGCAAGACCAACATTAGCCTTGGTCTACACACGTGCGATGGAGTTGTCAAACGCATAGATCTAGCGAGCTCGGAGAAGCACGTTTTGTTTTGCCGAGAAGTTACGATGGCAGGCAAAACTTTTCTTTTCTTAATTTCATCATATGAATACGAATTCTGATTAATAAAAATTATACAATCCCTGTTGAACCATATTTTAATCTAACATTTGCATCTTCAACAAAATGTGTTGAAAATGGCAGGGTAAGGAAAATCAGGGCCGGGCCGGAAAATTCTAAACGGAAAACCTTTTTTGTTTTGAAAATTACTGAAATATACTAATGTATTCGTCGCATAAATTACTTATACAGTTCAAGTTCTATATAAAATGATATGCTGAACCTCAACACGAACAAAATATCCGACCCGGTTCTTGTTTGTTACACATTTTATACCCTGCAGTTGATATTCTTCCTTCTTTCTACTTCGGCGCCATTGTTCTGAATGATTCCGAAAACGAAAAGAAAATCTGATAAACAGAGAAAACGATACACGGAAAAATGTTGCCGACAGTTCTTAAAGAGGCACCACTCTTTGAAAGGCGTGAGGTTGGTTCCCGCTATGAAAAGAATAAGGGCTGGACAGCTGAAAGCATTGATAGGCTTTGCTAGAATTAGCAATGACATACGAACAGATAATACGTTCTATTTCCACTATTGAAGAGTTAAAGTTCTTAGTGCGCTCTTTTGTGAAAGTCGCAGAATGTACAAATCTAGGGGGATTTCAGGGACAAACGTAACACTGACATGTACACAATGTGTTGAATGTCGATGAACATAGTCCAATAAAATAAATATGAAATATTTTATTGTTGTGGACATGATTTAAATCAAGAGTAGAGATGACAAGGATATTAATTTACATTTTTTGTGATCGTATGTATCTATTTGTCGTAAGGTACATTTAAAGAAAATACAGATACATCGGAAATGCCGTTTTGTTTATTAATGGACGATAACATTAGGATTTTCGCTGTTTTTCACGTCTTTTAGTTCTTCTAGTCTTTAGTTAGAATGTCAAATGCACTCATTGAAACATTTAAAATTGGATTGAGACTGGCATCATTTGTTTTATCCGCAACGCCATGCTGTCCCAGTGAGACGACCAAACGCGCCTCTAATTCTGAAGAGTTTACTAATGGAAATACAACGTATTTAGAAATAGCTGACACTGAGGTACGGATAGTTATTTGATATTCATTTATATATGTATGTATGATAAATGTTTATATTCAATTTATGTATAAAATAATTCTAAAATATGGAATGGACCAAATAAAATTATTTAATATTGGATTAAAGTTTGGAATCCCTATATTAAATACAGTGTGATGTTGTGGTAGCATTTATTTTGTTTTCTATGCATCTTATAATGTGTCTTGTTTTCATACACTTATGAATACACAACGACTCTAAAGTCTTCTTCAGCCGGGAAACTCCCCGGGCGATGAACAATGTCCTAGTTATTCAAAACAATGCCCTACATTCCTTTTCAAGGTGAAAAAGCAAGAGACCTCTTTGAAAATAAGAGGATAAGAATTTGCTTTTAAAATTCCTTATATCCCGCGAAACATCAATGATTTGCTGGCAGCAACTTTTGCTCAAAGGGACAACCTTGAAAAATCTAAAGAGTAACAGAATGCTTTCACACGCAATACAATTCTTCTAGTTGGCTTGAAGTACTTTTTTTTGATATGACTAAATTATGATTACATGTATGACTGAATAAATAAAATATAATTATAAAAAAAGGTTTCTACAGAAATGAAGTGAATGAACAAGGTAAAACAAGAATCTGTGAGCCAATACTCACTAAGAATATCCCCGCTCGGATGTGAATAAACATTATCATGTTAATATACACACGTTCAATTATGATACACGGAAAAATGCGACGAACATTTTATTATGTATGAAACGGACAGACAAACAGGAAGTTGACATTTGATTTGACCAAAAAAGTATCCCAAAGTATGGCATGCCTAAGAGAAGATTGTGTTAAAATTTCAAGCATCCTCGATATATGGGTTGCTGAGAAAAGTGCGACGAAAATTTGTTACGGACAGACACACATGGTTAGAACGGTATACTCCTCTCCTTCGGTGTGGGGGTATACATAGTTGCAGGCAAGAAACAAAAAATACAATTTGATTTTTTTTTTCGGACTGACAGAGTAACAAGCAACTGGCAAGGAGAACTATTCCAACATCATCAATCAATTATGTTAAGAGGAACTGAATACTTACCAGTAAGAAATCGAGGCCAACATCGAACATGTCAGATATTGATTTTTTGCATCTTCAGACAAAGAGAAAAGTATGACTAAAAGGCATTATCAGGCCAAAAATCTCTCAGAAAAATGAATGAAATGCAAAAAAAAAATTCTTTTAAAGATAGAGAATGGGTTTTAAAAGCCTCATAGAATCACCATCCCGAACCTCTCCTTGTATTTAAAAACTTTGGGTGTTGAAACAGGAAAATCACATCTTGCTATCACAAACAAACATAATTCTCTCTAGAACAGTAGAAAACAACGACAGCTCTTATAGCAGCTTTCAACATTGGGGGCATAAATCTCAATTCGGCATCAGCAAGAAAAATAAACTTCCTTTTACAACTTTGGGGGAAATATTTCAAACACATTTGAAACTTCAAGCTATTGATGACAAATCAATGGTGGACCATTAACTTCTTACCTATGTCTGTGGCAGATTGACTCAAATTAAGAAGTCAAAGACAGTTTTTGGGAATGTTTCAGTGTTAATATAATATATCAGCCTTTTATAAACTTATAGTTGAAGAATGTAGTTTAAGAATGTATGAGAGAAAGAGGGAGGGTGTGTGTGTAACAAGTGGTATAAAAAGCCTAATCATAAACAGATGACGAGGATGCTTTCCCCAAATTTTGCATCAAAACACAGCGAGTTTACAAATTTTCTTAAGAAAGAACTAAAGATTAACAAACTAGTGAACTTTGATGACAAACCTGAAAATTTATTAGCATGGAAAACCAGTTTTAAGTCGGTGATTAAATACTAATAATTAATACATACCTGTCGTTTACAACTTCCAAGCATTCAACTCCTGCAAGTTTGCCATTTTCTTAGGTTTGTTTTGATATGCCAAAATGGACATGACTGTTCCTATGGTAGGTGTAGCAGTGTCACTGTCTCTTCTGTGCCCCAAGTAAACATGAAGTGAGTAGAGGACAATGCACCTTCATCTCATCAAGGAAATCATTCCATTGAAACTCTCTCCACTCTTCAATACCTTTACGTGCCCCAAACTTTGATTCACTCTGTCTCAAAAAAATTCCCATCTCCTCCTGAACAGTTTCTTTAAGTAGAGTGGAGAAAGCTTTCAGGGCTCCTGATCTGGTACTCATTAACAGTTTTAATCCCCTTCTATACTGCCTTAGTCTCAGGTAAGTTAATGCCCTATTGACATCTACTTCAGCCTTAGTTAACTATATTAAATAAATTGTATATAAAAAATAAAACACTCTTACAATATTAACTTAGTACTGAACATAGCTCATTCAGTCATAACTTCTGAAATTGATATTTCAATAAATTACAATTGGTGACATCTAAAAAGTTTAAATACATGTACAAGCATAAATATACATGTACCTTCTTCTTCTTCTTAGTCTGTACATCCAGTGTATGGGATGTGCTCTCGCCAGTTTCTGATGGTGCTTGTTGGGGCTACAAAAAAATTATATTTGCTTCTTTAACAATTAATCTAGTGTGAATTGTTTAATTAAGAGGAACGTGTGACATTATAAATTTTGAAATATGTAAATTAAAGAAAAAGATTCCCGTAAAATTCCTTGACAAGCAAAGAAGCATTAGATTTTATTGTACTGTAGCTGGGACCCCACCCCTGACCTTGAACTATATTATATATACCAACAAAAAATAATCTTAAATTATGTTAATTTCACAAAATTTTACCTTTTGTGGAGACACAGTTCGCAACTTTTTAATTTTCCTTGGTGTGATCATAGGACTCCTAAGTTTCTTTGCCAGATAGGTTGGTCCATGACTGGCATGAGCTGTCTCTTTGATCTTTTTGAGGGCCTGTGCACTAGCTTCTTGGGATTTGGCAAATGAAGAAATGATCCAACTACATTGTGGACACAAAAATCTCTTTTTCTTCTGCTCTGGGGTAAAATTCACACCCAAGTCTTTTTGCAAAACATCTTTGACAGTTCTGTCAATTCTAACCAATTTAGAAGAGAGGCTTCTCTTATTTCCAGGGTTTTTTAAAGATGAAAATAATTTACCACAGCTTATGCAGTTGTTGGACTCCATTTTATGAGTAATTGTATAAAAATAAAAAGTATATTACAAATTAAAAGCTGTGCATAAGTCAACATACCTGCTATTTGTTCTACTGCCATTACTGATTGAACAGTAATTTTTCTCTGTACTGGGAATTGGAAAGGCTGTTCTTGTTCATCCTACATGTACAATTATAAGACCGTAAATTAAATTTATTTTAAATCATTTGAACAATAATAAAATTATTGGGAATAAATTGACTCAGTAAGATTGTTTAAAAAAATGAAAAGAAGGCCTACAATGTCTTATAATACAAAGATGTACGAGAAACTCCGTTGGTGTAGGCCTTGGTGCGTGAGGAGACTCACTAGTGAGCGTGGCTTCCATCGTTGTACTAGTACATGTGGATTTTTTCTCAATTGAAGCAGTATCACGGGTCCCAATAGGAAATTTATACAACCGTTGTTATATCGATACAGTTCAGGGTGGGCCTCACTAGGCCTGCCTTCAACAAAATATTTAGAGTATATTCTGTCGGGACGAGATGGTTTAATAAAACTCGCAGCGTCTAAGTCCAACCATTTCTTACGGATTTTGGGTGGTTTGAAGAGGGAAATGCGAAGAATTCGACATCGGCCATAAAGCCATATCTACCGCTTTTCCGAGAATCAGGTTTACAGCCTTCAACAACGCAGTAGTAGTGAGGTAGTCAGAATAATCTAACTGTGTCTTGGTACAAGCCCTCACCACAGTTAGAATACGTCCCATATGCTTGCAATGTAGCGAATCGGAGCGGATCCTCTCCGAAACGATTTTGAAGAATATAAAATGATTTGCACTGGGAATAACTACCAAAATAATCAAAACAAACCTTTTTGAGATTGCTTATGCCTTTTATCCAAAAAAATAATCCATATAAATAAGAAAATCCAATTAATTTTCTCAACGTTTTTCTCTCGATTCAAATTACCTCCATGTTTACATTCGGAGCTCTCTAGATTGTTCCTAGTAAATGCACTATGCGAGTTATCGCCCGTGTTTCTTTTTGCTACATTACGAATACACGGAACGAATTCTATCGTTAAACCGGGTCCGTAGGACAATATCATTTTAACGATAGAACATTCTATCTAGTAGTGAGGCATATCGAAACAGACAAATTGTTTCTAATGTCATCAATATCACCGGAAGTGATGCGCCCCAGATTTTAATAAAAATCACGTGACTGGCGTACGTACAAAGTAAATGTTGGAATCCTGCTGGAACATGTTATCTCGAAAATGGACTATTGTAGTTGATGATTTGGTCTTTACCTTTTCTATAAGATCTTTGTTCACTGTTGTTGCTGAGGAATGGCATTAAGACTCTTTTAAATGAGTCAATTGACATAGAATGCAATGCTGCAAACTGTGTCTTCTTTTTCTGTCATTGCCCAAAAATGCGATTTTCTCAGGGAAAATGTTTCTAACAATTCCTTATTTTTATTAATTTAGATTTGTTGCTTTTTTCAAGTATTTTAAAAAAAGGGAAATAACCTTGGACACGTCCAACGCAGCGCATCCACAAAGTGTACAGCTCATTGCAAAATTCCATGTACACTCTACACCAACGTAATTTGTGTAAAGTGTCAGGAAAAGTTTCATGTACACTCTACATCTAAAGGTGGTATCAAGTAACAAAATGGAAAGAAAATATCTAATTTTTTTTTTAATTTTCCCCCCTCACTGGTACCCTTCTCCTATTTTAATTGGTTCGTAAATCATCCTTGTTTCCCAGTGTCTTGAAATACAAGATCACGTGATTTCTTTGTGCCCCAACAAGATGCCTCTTCAAACGTACGAGACTTGGTAAGTTAAAATCAATTAGCACAAAGCATTATAACTGTATTTTGATTTTTAGATCCGCTGATTTTATATATAATGATTTATTATCTTTTTGCAGTAAATGAAATTCTAACCGAATATTCCAAACGAATGTATACCTACCGCGAAATGAGCAGTTTACTAAAAAATAAGATATCAAATTAAGGTATGAAATTTAATGTCTTGCATGCATGTACATATAGTACAAAATTACGCTTTTATGAAAAGTTCAGTTGGTTATTTGGTTATATTGAATATGGTTAAACAGATCGAGCTATAAGCATAAAATTAACATGTATTTTATACATAATTATATATTTATATATATTTTATACTAAGTCAAAGTTTTACAAAGAAAAATTATTTACTATAGCGAAAATGCAATTAGGAAAAGGCTTAAAAGACTGGGCGAGCCCAGAAGAAGAGGTCCAACTGCCCATTTAGTTTCGGACGTGAAAAACATTGTAAAGGTATATATACATGTATGTATGTGTGTGGGGGGGGGGGGGGGTAACGTTACAACGTCACTATTTTAAACTGAATGTAAAAGTCCTAAGATGATAATGAAAGAGCTAACGTTTTATTAGTAGTGTTGCTTTTTTTTTAAATTTATTTTCATAAGTGTGTTTATATATAGTTTATCATATTGTGTTTAAAAAAGGTATAAAAAGTAAGACGGTTATTTTTTTAAACGTGATAATTACATACATTTCCACAGCATATACATTGTTTAATGATTCCTATTAAGTTGGATGCTTATCAGCATATCTAGTCTGACCCTGCAAGGAATTGTCAACAGAATTTTTTATTGAATTTTCTGAGTAACAACCCGGCACATGAGAGTTAAAGCAATGTGCTATGACTCCTTCGTCATAATGTTTGCAATAAAATATTTTTACTTTTTGAAGTATATGTTAATAATATATACTAGTAAATGTTTAAAAATAAAAATTACTCTATACCAAAATATTTTTTTGTAGTCCACTTCGCAAGATTATCCAAAAACCGTTGGCTACCGATTTTTAACTGGTGTTTTACATCGCGAAGGAATACATGTCCGCAGATATTTATTTCATTATTTTAAGTCTTAAATACTAGAAAACAGACTACTTTAGAGTATTTTGAAGATATTTGTTGAAATTTTCAATTTAAAATTAATTATGTTGAATGAATATCACTATTGGGATACATATTACTTCATTTCAATCTATGATGAACAAAATGATAACTACAGTGTATAGAAATCTTGTGGAATCTGGCCCGAATTACCAGAAAACACCACAGTGAAACAATATAATATGTATATAAAGTATTAAGGGGGTGGAAGTGTATATCTCTTAACCAATGAGTATCATGCTAAATCACTTCTTTTGTGTCTGTGCAGAGACACTGTAATGACTGTTTTGAGAGAAGTTGATCCACTTGGAGTAGAGAATCGTCGTCGTCGTAGAATTAACAGGAGATTGTACTCAAGCCTAGGACCTAACTATGTGTGGCATGTCGATGGGTGTGTTTTAGAAACATATGCAATGTTTCTAAATATATATGCATTAACCAGTTTGTGCTTTTGATAGATTGTTTTAAACTAAATTTTAAACAATGTTCTTTTATAGTTACGACAAACTAAAGCCATACGGGATTTCAATCCATGGTTGCATTGACGGGTAGGTATCTTTTTTCAAGAGACCTGGCAGATTTTAAGGTTAATAGTATATAATGTGTCCTTGAAGATGTTGTAAAATATATGTTACAACAACAAAATTCCCCTTCCTAGAATGGTGTTAAGAACTTGTAAGTTGCAAGAACTTGTTTCTAATCCTTTTGTGTTTTAAACAATAAAATTTTTTCACTGAAAAAAAAACCAACAAGTAACCTTTCTTGACTGTCATAAATAGAACGACTGGAAATTTGTATCAGACCCTCCTCTGCAACATTTAAATTGTCTTCCATGTTGAAGGTAAAAATGTTTAAAAAATTGACTATTGAACAATATATAAAGAATATAGTTTATATTGTACATGTAAATGCTCATTAACGACATCATTGCAGATTTTCTCCTCGTTTGATGTGATTAACTGCGGGTTCAACCAACAGTGACCCTGCAGTTGTTTTACAGTATTTCATAGGATGTATACGAGCTGTAAACGGTTAGTATGTTAGCGTGTTCATAATTATGAGTTTCATTTTCTGTTTTAATTTTGCATCAAACTAAATGCTTTCAATATTTAGGATTTCCTCTCATACTACAAGCTGATCCTGGAACGGAAAATTCAGATATGGGTGCAATTCAATGCACACTTCGACATGAAGCTGGCGACTGCTTTGCGAGACAGCATAGTTTTAGAGTTGTAAAGTCAACATTTAATCAAGTGTGATTGATTGTATATTGTTTAACGTCCCTCTTGAGAATTTTTCACTCATATGGAGACGTAATATTGGTTTTAAACTTGTTTTGATATATTTTTGCAGAGGATAGAGGCATGGTGGAGCATGTTTAGAAGGCTAAAAAGTGAGTGGTGGATACGTTTCTTTCACGACTTGGAGCTGTTTGGATTATTTCATAGAGGGAATGTGACAAATTTGTGAGTTATTATAGCATTTGATAATATGCTGCTTACAAATTCGTGTATTATTTTAATGCATGAGACACTGTTATCTGAAAACTTCAGAGAGTTCAAACATTACACATTTTGTTTGCTCTGAAGAATATATCAGACCTTTTAAATCCTTACAGGTATAGTCTTCGTTATTGCTTTATGCCTGTTATTCAAAAAGAGCTTGATGATTTACTCGAACAATGGAATGACCATTATGTATCTCAAAGCAGACAGGCATCATGCCCAGCTGGAAGGCCTAATATTATACATCAGTTATCAGAAAATGGTACTAAATACTTTCATCCTACTAATTCAGTGTTTTTATTAAGGTCTTCTGTCTTCAGCGGAAGACCATATTGTTTTTCTTAGGTTTCTTTCCCACTATTTAAGGTCTTCCGTCTTCAGCGGAAAACCTTATTGTTATTCTTAGGTTTCTTTTCCACGAAAATAGTCTTATCAAGAATTTCAAAATTTTAACACCTTTTCTACGATAACTTTTTACCAGAAATATTTTGTTAAAACATGTAGAACAAAAGAAGTGTAGAATTACAAGATCTTTCATCTGATATCTCCAAAAAAGGGCTGGCCCCTTAAATGAAGGGCCCACAGGGGCCAACGTTTTTCTTTATATCTCAAAAAGTATTGTCAAATTGTATTACGTCAAAGAAGCAAAGTTGTTCATAATGTTAAGTTTAATCTATTGGAGTCGTCAAAATACGTCCGGTGACGTCACTTCCGGTCAAACCGGAAGTAGTCCGAAAACACGTATTTTTGCCGTTTTTGACAAGTTTTTCTGGGAGCATTAAAATTAATTTTCCGTCAGTCATCGTCACTTCTGGTCAAACCGGAAGTAGCAAAAAATGGATTATTTTTGCATTAATTAACATAGCTTTAGAGGATTCAAACCATTTTTGGGTGTTATTTTTCATTTTTGTTAAAAATGAAAGCTACATCCGGTCAAACGGGACGGAAGACCTACTCGTTGCTTTGTCTTCTTCTTATTTTTTCTTACCGATTTTGTGCACGCGAGTTCTCGGAAACGGCTCAATGGATTTTCATGAAACTTTCAGGTCTGATAAAACATCTAAAAATCTAGTAATAATTTTTTTTTATTTTGATGACGTCACTTCCGGTTCGGAGATTTTCGCGATTTTGTCATTTTTAGAGGGTCACTTTGTCCGGCAATGTTCTCAAAAATCGTTGAAGATAGAGGTATGAAATTTTCAGTGATGATAGAGCAACCTTTGGAGAAGTGAATTCAGTATATCATTTTTACCGGAAGTACGAAACGCCGACGCTCGATATGGCGCGAAAATAGTCCTATCAAGAATTTCAAAATTTTTGACACTTTTTCAAAGATAAATTTTTACCTAGAAATATTTTGTAAAGACATGTAGAACAAAAGAAGTGTAGAATCACACGATCTTTCAAATGATATCTCGAAAAAAGGGCTGGTCCCTAAAATGAAGGGCCTAGAGGGGCCGAAAGTTTTTCCTTTATATCTCAAAAAGTATTGAGAATTTGTAATACGTCAAAGAAGCAAAGTTTTACAAAATGTCAAGTTTTATCTAATTGGGTCGTCGAAATACGTCCGGTGATGTCACTTCCGGCCAAACCGGAAGTAGTAAAAAATTGCATATTTTTCCTGTTCTTGACAGGTTTTTGGATATCATATGTCACTGGAAGCTTAAATTTTAATTTTCCGTCCCTCGAAGTTGCCAAAAATGGCTTAATTTTGCAATAATTAACATAAATTTAGAGGATTAAATCATTTTTGGACTTCATTTGTCTTTTTTTCATAAAAGAAAGTTACTTCCGGTCAAACAGGACGGAAGACCTACTCGTTGCTTTGCAACGAGCTCGGCTCTAGTTTGTTTTAATTTCTTTTTTCAATCAACCCACTCCTTGATATTGTTACTGTTCTAGGTAGCACTGATTGTCTGACCAAAACGACAGAAGAAGATGAGGCATGGCTACAGACTTTTCAACACCCTATCAGCAGAAGTGGACCTGATGAATTTGATATATTTGCTCATCAAATGTTTCTGTCAAATAATTGGACAGACGCCGTGGAATGGAAAGAAGCCTTGCATCAATATTGTCAATTAAAAGAATGATTATGTTGACATTTACCATTTTCTTCTTTATTTAATCAAAGTAAAACTATAAAGAAGGCTCAATAACAAACGAAAGAAACAACCTACGATTACATATCTCGCAATCACTGAGTATGCGACTTTTGATTGTGTTCAAATACAAAAAAATTGTTAACTTTTGCTTATATTTTGCTTATATTACATATACTACTGAAAATCTTATCCATATCAATTTTGAATTTTTCTCTATCTTATTAGAAAAGGTTTACATTGTAGTCCAAAATTCTAAGTCAATTGAGAAAAAAAATAAGATATTTGACAAAAATGCTACGTTTTCCATAAAACGTGTCTGTACAAACGAAAAATCCATTAATCAACCAAGGAAAACTGGAAAATAATACAGAAATACACTGTCAGTGACAAAAGAACTTTTTTTTCCAATCAATGTTATTGGAGTCCAAATAGGTATTTGAGAATGCCCACATGAATCTGTCTATCATGTATTCCTCACTTTTATCTGACAACGGAAGAATTAGTTGATTGATACAGGTTGATGCAGTTGGCAGGTCGCCTGAGAGTTCACTGAAGAGGATAGTTGGTTCAATTTCAAAACCAAGAACTGGTTAATCTTCAGAACCTGTTGCAAAAGCCAAAATCTGGCCAAGCGTTAAGCTTCCTTGTCTTCCAGCTGAAAAAATATACACTCTGGCTTTAGGAATGTATAAGCTTAATAAACAGATATTTGAATACAGTTAAAATATGCATGTAAAAGAAATTAATTAGTTCATTGTTACTATTATTAATCTCAAATACCAAATATCTTTTACTCTATTGTCAGATCAAACTGAATTTAATTGCAATTACCTGCAACATTTCTTATGAATCTAATGAAGAAAGAGTATACTCTCTCCTCTTTGGACCTTTTGTTGGTTCAATCCTCGCTGAAGCGTGGCTTTAAAGTGTTTACAAACTTAGAAACACTAAGTCTTACACCTTGCTCTCGGAAGAGATATAACAAGGACGGTTTCTGTCTGATGAGCTTTAATACAAATAAAAAAAAGTTAAGGCCTCAATATTTATCATTAGTTTAAACTAAATTTAAAATATTTAACAGCCATATTGAAATCTGTCGTTAGATCAGTACTAGCATTAGTTACAAAATCCGAACCTGCCATACTCCTACTCTTTCGAGTCCTTTCCTGAGCAGGGCATACTCTTATGGCTCCGACTGTGGCCAGTTGTCCATAAGAGATCCCAGGAAATTTGCGCATGGCCCATTTTGAAGGGCACTGAGACCTAAAATTATAAATTATCGTATTTGTATTCCAATTTCTTTCAGTGATGGATGGTTTAAGTCCAATCAACGAATTTTATACATGTACTTATCGAAAGAGTTACTATTGAATAATTGCTAGTGTTAATTTAGTTAAGGAAAATATTCATGTCATTACCTACAATTACTCCTGCAGTGTCATAGCTTTGATTTTCAATGAGAGCACCGTTTCGTCGGAGTTTGACTGGTACTCCTGGTTCCAAAATGGAGGACTTTAAGTAGGCCAGAACCAGTCGTAAAAATTCCTTTCTAGGACCACCTAAGTCCTCACTTTGCTCCCCGTGAAAGTTCACTTCTAGCGGAAATCGAATATTGGAAAGCAATTTAACCTCCGAGTTTGTGTCTTCCCATAGGTTGTTACGTCCAACAAATATCGAAGACGTGTCACCTTCAATAATTTCATCCACCTCGCTTATGTCCAATTTTCTTCCCATCAAAAATTTGTCTCTGTAGGTTTTCAAGATTTTTGTGGGCTCCTCAGTTGATCCCCTTTAAAAAAATAAACGGTTTATCGTACATGTATAAATACTTACTGAAACAACCGTATCATTCTACTAGTAAGTCAGTTAGAGGTGATTTCAATATACTTATCCAATTGTTGGTATAAATCCCTGATAAATAAATCCTTGTAATTCTCGTAAATCAATAAAAAGACAGTAAACAATGCACTGATTTATTTACATATACATGTATACATTGATGATGCACAGTACAAACAAAAGTTTTTATATTTATGCTAGCATATGTACTGTCTAAATCCTAGTAAAGCACTCTCGACTTCTGAAAATGTCACACTTATTGTAAACGAATCTTAGCTCCAATAGATGATTATCTGAAACATTAGCTTCAATCTATTAATTAACTAACTCCAACTCTACATATACGAGGGTTGTCCAAAAACTCCGTAGACAAACGTTGTTTTGTAAGAACCTTATGTCATACATTAATGAAACCTCGAATATAGATTAAGCACTCACTAATAAATTTATGGAGGATCATGGAGTAACTACTCAAATTATTCCAATTTAAAAGACATATTTCATTGTCTGGTGTAGGAAGGCGGCGCAATACCCAAAAGTTGCAATTAAAATTTGGTAGTTCATATTTAAAATCTTAAAGAAAAGTAATTCCTACCTCATAATTTTTTGATGGAAATAAAAATTCTTAATATTGCTCTGTTAACTATATTTCCCTCAAGGGTATGTCGTAGACCATCTTTTTTTGGTTCTTATTATGTTTTTGTTATGATAAAAATACGCATACATGTAAAACTAGTACACATTTTAACTTGAACATATTTTAAAGAATTCAGGTATCATATTTAGCTCACTTTAGTCTTCTGCTCAAGTGAGCTTTCCTGATCAAAATTTGTCTGTTGTCTGTCGTCGTTGTTGTCATTGGCGTCTTTGTAAACATTTCCAATTTATGATAAAATTGCCAAGATTTTTTTAAATTTTTGGCCCCCGAGTCGGTGGTTCCTGTTGGATGGGGTACATAACTGGTTATAAAGTGGAAGTGCATTTTGTTACCCTGATCTACCTCTTGGTACAGTATTACGTAACTAGAGTAAGCATGCTAAGTAAATATTTGTAATAAGCAAGCTGTTTCTTTCAAAATTTGAATTTCATGGCCTCTGGTTTAAAACCAAACTCAATTGTTGGAAAGTTGTTACATGATACCCAGGTGCTTATGGGCCCCTTGTTATATATTCTTTATGTAATGACGCACTTTTATTGTGCCTGTTTCGGATTAAGGGAGTTTAATGTGTGAATCTTTTTCCCCACTTAACAGCAAGTGTTGAATAAATTGATTTCGCATCAACCTTTAATGACATCATTGAGAAATCCTGTCAAACATCTAATGACATGAGGGATCCTATTTATATGGTTGTAGGTATGTATTGCTTAATATAGCATTATATATATATAAATAAAATTGCAAATGTAAATTTATGTCATACATTTGTGTTGAAACAAATCAGATGAATTATGTATGATGTATTCACATTGATCAGAAATCTTGTTAATAAAAGATTGAAATCCATGGATTCAATTAAATACCAAGAAATTACCATAAATACCGGTAGTTTAATATTTTTTATGAATTTAATATAAATTTCGTTCTACAATATATACCTGAAATTTGGATCTATTTTAAAAGTACACCAGTCACTGCACTTCGCATGGTCACCAAAAGGTGAGGTACAATCTGTGATAGGCCTTCTTGAACATCATCGCCTGTTCTAGCCCTGGACAGGGTATACATTAAGCATCTGAACAGGAATGAAATTACTAATGATTGCGATTTTAGTTCCTTCCATTTACAGCTAATGCTTAAATCTTTTTAGATATACCCCTTTTTTATATATGACTTTTTTCATCTTTCTTCTGTAGTCCAGGGAAGTCCAACTTTAAAGTAGATAGGGTGAGTCATTGTCAGCATGGATAATTTGTACTGGATGGCCGAAATCTCTCGTTCTATGTAGCATGGACACTGCCATATCTGGCTCCGTCGCCTTGATTGATCCATCCCAGTTTTTTGAACACTGATGGACTGGTATCACGTCCTCTCCATGGTGGTCACAAACACTGCAGCTTTTGCTTCGGATCTCGTACTGCAGGATTTTACCTGTCTGCTTCCCAATCAGTGTCCCATGCCCTGTATCATGAAAATTTTTTTGTTCATATTGAAGAAAAGTCAGGCTGAGCTGCTAACAGATTGAGGTAAGTGGTTATTATGTCATCTGTCACACGGGACATGATTTACTTACAAATTTCGAAAATCTAACAAAAAAAAAGCCAATTGATTTACTTGAAAACATAACTATAAATTAAAGTTGCATGCAGCTGATATTTTTGTTTGCAATTAAGCAATTTTGTTTGCAATTAAGCAATTTTGTTGATAATTTTACACCTATACCTTTATTAAACCTTTTCAGATTCACCTTAGCTGAAAGCTAAAATGTGCTTTTCTTATCACCTTTTGTTCGTCGCCTGTCCGTCTGTAAACTTTTACATTGACAACATCTTCTCAAGAACTACTTGGCCAATTTTTACTTAACTTGGTACAAAGCGTTATTGGGTAAAACGGAGTTATAAGGAATCCAAATATTACATTTATGTATCTAAGGAAAATCTTTGAAAATCTTCTTTTCAACAACCATTGAGCCAGAGAAATTGCAACACATAAAGAAGCATCTTGGGATAGTGTAAATTCTTGAAATCATGACCCTCGAGGTATGGCGGGATCACTTTAGATATTACAGAGGTAGAATCTTGTGAAGAACAGCATGGCCAAGGTTGCTCAAGTGAGCAATGTGACCCTTAGGCCTATTGTTATGTAACCTTTAATTTTTTTTATCATATCTGATAACCGTTATGATATCAAACTGAACCAGCATCATAGCTGCACTCCATTATGTCAGACATCTGTACTTCCTTCTGGAGGGATCTTATGCAGGATTTCATTTCTGGGCCTCCTTTTCTATAATATCGCCTATAATATTATCCTTTTTTGCAATGGTTTTCTGGTTGGTGGGTGGAATATCGCAGGTTGTTAAAAATTCATTGAAGTGGCTTGGTCCCATGCCAGAATTGATCATGCCTGAAAGAAGAAAAATGCAAGACATTTAGCTACAAAATAATTTTTAAAGATGGCCTTAGTACATAAGAAGTTTGAGATGACAAAAGGAGGGGGTGGTTATTATTATTTTTATAGATTGAATCAGTTGCACCTGTCCATATTTACTAAATCGTTCTCAATATTTAAAAATGAGGAAATCTTTTTAGAAATTTACAGAACACTTGTGATTTATAATCACTTCCTAAATGAGACAGAGAGAGAGAGAGAGAGAGATGATGGGCTTTGCTCTAGTTACTTCGTAGGCCTATTTATAATTCATCCAAATAAGGGTAGGGGAAAGAGGGAGAAAATGGGGTGAAAACCTCTCCGCATACAGTATGTGCTGTTATGCTTTATTCACAGACCTCTTGGAAGAGGCAATGCATTTATAATCACTCATGTCATACTACAAATAATGTGAAAGTAAAATTGAAGGAATCAAGGTGTTTTCTATGGGTTATTTTCTATTTATGTACCCGGTATTTAATGTTTGGTGTTGTGAAACAATCCCATAAAATGTTTTCTTGGCCGTAAATGAATGCTTATTATCAAATAGTGAATATCATAAAGTAGCTACTTTCTTTATATCAATGTCAAGTTTTTAATTTTAAGTAGTATTAACCAAAACTAGATAAATACCTTATTGTTGAAGGTTTCAGAGAGAATCTTCGTGGAGATTTGCTTTTGTGAAAGGCAAATTTTCGAGAAGTTGGCTGGTTTGTCAAGCTCTGTGCATCGGTTGCCAGCGACGTTTGAGATGACGATGCTGTCGTTGTTGAAGCGACTGTTGTCGTCGTTCTTTGACTAACTAGCCTTGAGGCTAATGTTGACATCACGTCTTCATTCAAAATTTCGCTTATGATTTCTCTGGCTTCGTCCATTTGCATCCGTTGGTATCCGTTGAATGCATTCAAAACACTGACTTGAGTGCCTCATCAGCATCGACCCATGTGACCAACAGATTGTTTCAAAGGCTATCAGTCCCATTCTTTGTGATTAATAAAGGGGTATTATAAATTTGTTTAATTGCTAACATCGATGTGTACAGTTGTATTTCCTTGAAGAACCAGCAGGAGCGGGCATCTGCATGATACCTGTCATATGCATTCTTGTTCACTTCGTAGGTGCGCGCAATGGGCGATCGCAGAAAACAGTTTGACATGTCTCTTTTATAGAAAATTAAACAATTTTTTATTTCTAAACAAGGCCCCCCGAGAAGCATGAAAGATAAATTAGTAGATAAAGGCAGTGCATCATCAATAAGTAGATAAAAAAAATATAAAAGCAAATTGCATTAAAGTAAATTAAAGTAAAGTATTTTAATTCTAATACTAGTATATCTA